AATTTTAATTGCCACAAATTCCATGACGGTTTGAATTTTTAGAATTTCACTAGGAACTGATTTTTTGGAACGTATTGCCTCGCCACCACATGCATATTCAGGGTTGCTTCTATTTTTAAAGGTGCAATAATATCCAGTTATTTTCCCAAATGTTTTTCGTTTAAAGTTTGTTTCTTGTATACAGATTATATAAAGATTATGTAGTTTGCATAAATATTGTAAGTTTTCTAACCTGCTGTAAGAGTCATTAAGACTCCATTGCAGAACAATCATAGTTTTTCTTTGTATTATTTTCTACTTTCAATTCTATGAACATGGTTTAATTTCTATGGTATGATCTGAATAAGTACATACACTATTTGGGTACTGTCTAAACTGAATTCTGAGTCTGAGATGTCTCTGTTGGGAATATTTTTTTCTAATTTCTTCATAACTCTTGTAAATCTGCCCTTTATAGATCTTTCATTCAATAGTTTATATGTATCTTTCAGCATATCAACTATTGAATTAAAATCAGTTGAATAATCTTTCATTATAGGAATGGGGACAGATGCCCCAAAGGAGTTTTCAAGGAATGATTTGAATGGAGTGTATGAGAGAGGAAGTTTGTCTTGGTTGGAGTCAATATAGGTTTTGGTTGGGAGCAGAAGATCTTCTATTGACTTGTTAGCTAAATTGTCTTGAGAGGCAGGTTCTTCATTTACATTTTTTGCTCTCTTTTTCTTTGAGGGTTTACAGCCTTTGCTTTACATAGTACATCACTAGTTGATGTATTCTCAGGTGTAGAGGATGATTCAGATGGGGGGCTTCTTTTGTTGATAGGAGGAAAGTTTGTATAATCCATAGCAATCAAGCCAGATGCATTGTCACCTAGTTGTTCTGGAGGGGGAATGCCTATTAAAATATTATCAGTAATGTTATATGTTACTCTATTTATAATTGGTGAAGAGGCAAATGTTCTTAATTGGGCACTTACTGGCAATATGGCCGTCAGTTTTACATTTGAAACAGGTAATATTAACAGTTGTGAAAAATAGTTTATATGTTGTATCTTCAGATGGAATTAGAAATGACTGGTAATTTATGTACTTCATCTGGGTGAACAAAGACTTGTCTTCTGAAACTCATAAAATGTGATATACCTGGTACAGGTAAATCTGCTCTGATAAATGCAATGTTAAAAGGAGTTTGAATATCCAATTGTTGAAGAGCATTTTTGATCACCTCATGAGGGATAACTGAAGAGACATTGGATATTATAAGTCTTATATGTTTGCTTAATAATGGTCTAACACTCACTTCAATGTCATTAATAGTGAAAGTTTGATGGTAATCTGTTAGATAGTTTGCGATTTTCTCGGTACATAAGAACACACAAATTCTATTATTTTCTATGCACGACACAAATCTAATATTATTTGGATTGATAAAAGTTGATATTTTACTCACATAATCTTTTATTGTAAGTGCTTCGTGGGCGTCAATAATAATTGCTTGGTCCTTTGATGGGAAAATGTCCATTGTCGCAGCTCCAGCATAAGATTTCGTTTTATCCATGTTGTTGTTGTTGGCCGTTCGAGGTTATGTTTTCCTTGTTGTTCAGTGTATCCATACTGACGCTAATTGCCACTCTTTCGAGTACCAGCTACACACAAAATACACTTGAAGAAGAGACTATATCACAGTTTTGTTTACACGTACACCAAATAAGGTATTAGAATCGCTGTCGAAAGCACACCCGAACGGAGCATACGATGTGTCTAGTACCACGGTCCGCCGTCGACTGAGTAATCGGGCCAATCGCATCTTGTATGAACTTTGTCTTAACGCAGAACATGGGTTGAGTATACGCGAATAATAGATCGCGAGATGCTAGAATAATGCTGACAAGTCAAGTAAAGCTCGAAGAGTTAAAAAAGAAGTCCTGATAAATGAAAGTGTGGAACATTGAAAGAGATGGTACCCAGACGACCGAACAGTATTGTTTTGGAAAGATTTTTTCTTCCTTTTCTTGTCTTTCGTCCAGTTAAATGATACTGAAAGAGGGCAAATGGCGGACAATTTGGTGACGTTTTGGTATTTGGTTTCTAAATGGCTTTTGGATCGCTAAACACGAATATCAGGTTTGCCAATAAAAACTTTGCCCGGAATTTTTAATGTAAAATATGTGTAAAAACACTACTTTTTAGGTTTTTTCAAAGTAACGCAAAAGAAATCCATTTAAAAAATAATGGTTCTTTATGAAATACAAGAAGATAAAATTACCTACATTTAACGTCATTAAGCTCTTCCCCTCCAATTAACGGTTTAGCCGTTAGAACATCGCTAATATTGGTGGAATAAGCAAAAAACATGAAAAGTTGGAATTATCCCACTTCATCTGAAGTTAACGTCAAAAGTCAGTTTTCGTAAATATTAACTCTATATAAAATGAAAGCGTATAAAATTGTTTACATTTTATGTGTTAAGAGTTTTTCCTAAATTGAATGGCATCTTTTAGGCAATAGCAATGATTAGTGTCCAAAATGTGCTTGGATGTTACTGCAAAAATGATAGCTCATTTTTACCTCCCTCTCACTAACTCATACGTAATTTAAATCCAACAAAGTTGCGTACAAGTAAATATAGCTTCTTTTGAATAAGTTTACATTTTATTTGGAAAACAAATCATATGAAATAATAATAATAATAATAATAATAATAATAATAAATCACATGAAGAAGAAAATTAATATTTTGGAAGATGATGGACTGCAGTATCAGCGAGCGACGCGTACGTTCCGGAAGCCAAACAGGCATCTGCTACAGTACATACAAAGGCATTATAATTCCATTTTTACTTACGCACTAACATAAGAAGAGAAAGTATTGTAATCCTGTGCCGGAAAACGGCGAATTTTCGACACAAAAACTCTTATTACCGGGCCCTGTTTTGTGGGTCTTTGATACCGAAAAATCGATTGACGCAAAACGACTGTCAGTCCTTGTGTGCACAAAGCTAACGCATAAACCGTTCAGCCGATTTTCTCCAAAAGTGATATTCCTCAATCGTTCCAGCTGATGCCGCGGACCCTGAAATATGCAACCGCTATTTTAATTTGGGTGGGGGGTTCTTCACATGACAACCCTAGAACATTTTCAAAATTTTCAAAAAAATGGGTCCAAATTTTATTATTATTTGATTAAATTTTGTTGGTAAATAGTGCAAAGGACTTTTAATGGTATGGTGCAGGTTTAATTTTTGTTGACATCCCTGATTTTTCGAAAATTGAAAGAAATTAAAACTTCCAATTGGAGATAGATATTTGTGTCTCAGATAAAGTCCGTAGTACAAAATTCGCTCTTTAGAAAAGATCATGAACAAATAGGATGAGGAGGAATAACATTTTGAGGGACCACCAATAGAATATGTTTTACATTGTCTAGCCCAGGAACAAATTTAAGATCCAAAATTATAGTATTCAAATAATAAGTAAATTGTGCATATTTCCTCTTATTTCTGAACAAGTTTTACATTTATTAATATTAAAATTTATTTTATTATTTTCATACATTTTCGTAGAGAATTTAAATTCATTTGCAAATCAAGGCTATCATACCGTGTCACAACTTCATTATTCCATTTTAAATCGTCCGTAAACAACAGCAAATTATAAGATAGTACATTATATCATTAATAGAAAAAAGGTATAATATAGGTCACAGATGAGATTGTAGCACTTTTTATTCAATCCCAGATGTAACAAAAATATCTCGCAACATGTAACCTTTTTATTTAACATTTTGAGTTCTTCCGTATAAATAATCCTTAACCCATTTCAAATGGGCTCCATGTTTTCCCAAATTAGACAATTTAATTGATACAATGTTGGGATCGACAGTATAAAACGCTTTAGGGAAATCGGTATAGTTGACATCAACTCTAGAGCCTTGTTCAATTTTCCGTGTATATTCCTGAAAAAATAATAATTCAGTTGTAGATCTTTTTTCCTTAAACCATATTGTTCTTGAATTAGCAATAAATTAAGGAGATCAAAAGTTTTTAGTAATCATTGCTTCAAACAGTTTAGGTATAGTATTCAATTTGGAAATAGGCCTATATTTTTTCATATCGGATCGGTTCCCGGATTTGAACATAGGAGTTATGAAAGTACGAGTCCAAACTGAAGGAAAGGGAACCCTCTTGAAATGTCTTAGAAATCAACATATGAAGGATATATGATAAATTAGTTTTACAAATTTTTAAAAAGTAAAGAGGTGTGCCGTCAGGACTGAGTATGATAGAGTCATCTAATTTCCATATCGCATCGAAAATTTCATTTTCTGGCAGTGACATAGATCCCATATTAACAAAATTATTTTCGATAGTGAAATGTTCGAAATTTTTTAAAATGTCCAGGGGCTTCATGTATAGTATTCTCAACAATTAAAATATCAGTTTCAAATTCAAGCGGACGCGACATCAGCCAGATCGATTGGGATTATCAATTTTGGTAAAAATCATGCTTACGTTTTAGACACAAATGTTGACCGCATACGAAACTATAGAAAGACAGACGTTCTGCCGACAATCGATTTTTGTAAATAAACGACCCACACAACATGGATTGTGATCTTACAACGTGCTGAAGGAAGTAATTTATCATGTATACATTTATCCATTTTTTCGTTACCAGGGCCTGGCAATAAGAGATTAAGTGACGAAAATTTCCGTTTTTTTACCATTAGAATATTTCTCGGTACTGCGTCTGTAGTAGCTCCACTGTGTTGCAGTAGGGTAAGCGCTATTCCAAGTCCCTTCGTCATTCAGCGAATTAAAACTGCTCTCGCCCCTGAAATCCGAAGGGCTACTGCGATGGCCGTGTCATAGTATTTAATATGGCGCCTACAAATGGATAAGGAGTGGCAGTAGAAACTTTCCTTACTCGCTCTCTGGGTTGTTGTTACGTGGAAGGAAAACGTAAGAACAGTAAGAAGTTATATAAAGAAAACGCATTGAATCTTTTGAATACATTGCTTTATTTTTATTTACATGCAGAATATTTATAACAGGAAAGTAGAAGCACAATCTACTTGGTAGAGTGTAAACTTGTGCCCATGTTTGTGTGTCTTATCATACTAATGAGGGTCTTAATCTAAGAAATGAGTAGTAATGTGTCGTACGGTGGCTAGTCTTGTGATTTAAATACTCATGTGTGGCGAGGCGTTGTGTGTGGGGGAGCCGAAAGCTGCCGCTGCTCCGTTGGGCTCTAGGGCGACACCTGCGGCTGGTAGCCGTCCTTGTTGGCCACGAAGACGATGCTGTTCTCCTTGCCGTCCACGTCCACCCACGTGATGGTGCCCCGGATCTCCAGCTCCTCGTCGTCCGTGCCCGCGTTCTTCAAGATGGCGTTCTCTTGGCGGATGATGCCATTGCTCGTCTTAAATCTACCAAGTGAAGAGCATAGTGGAGTAAACACTAGTGCAGTGAATGTGTTAAATATTATACAATAAAATAACTTCCATAATAATTTCAAATCCACTTTAAGTTCATTTAAAGAACACAAGTGTTGAAACTTTAATTGACTTTGCATTAATAAAAGCAATTTTCGTTAGAGTTAAACAAACTTTAAGAAGTCACAAAAAGCATCTGAATATGAAACATCTCTAAAAATATGTTAAATGATTTCATCGCAGGATTTGAAAGGTCATGTGATCCGGTTTAAAAAGCTCTTTATGTTGTAATGGTTCATAGCGTGAGAGTGTGATCTCATAAATTTGAACTTGATTATTTCACACTCAAATTAAAATCAATAGTGTTATCAAAACATACAAAATGCCCCAATCAGGGCGGTGTATCTTAAAACGTTTATCGCTTTTTCTATGCGAGTTTCGTACCCCTTCGCCCTTCTGGCTTGTCATAAAATGTGACTCATCTTTCTTAGGAAGCGGTATACATCGATTGCTTTGTCGATGTCCAATAACACGCCTATGAACTGTAACATAACTTCTTTGATTTTAACATATTTTCAAAATTAGGTGCATTTTGGAACTCTGTTGGACATCATTTCATTCGTGGAATAGTCCTATTAAATACCACTCGTGCTTTGGAAATTCTAGATAAATAACCTCCTCGCTTCGCGAGTCGAGGTTTATCGACAATTTTCAAAGCACTCGTGATATTACCGCATGATAATCTATTTCAATGTAGAAAGAAAATGTTGGGTCCTGTTCTGGGACTTCACGAATTCAGTTTCACAATTTGAGTTTAGTTATTATGCGTATTAAATATTAGTCCCACTGAGTTTGACTACTTTACCATATATTTAAATAAAACAAAGCACTTGTTTTCCTTAAATACTCTCTATTTATCAGAAATGAGTAGTTAGGGCATCTTGCGCTTGGCTCCAACCGTTGGGATCCGAAATTTTTTTTACTCAAAACTTGTAGAAATTGTTTTTGACTTCTAATTCAAATTAATCGCTATACGTTATTTCTGATGCATGGAGAGATGGCTTCTAAGTACTGGGGGAGGGGGACTTATGTTTGAAATTAGAGACTCCCATGAAACTATTGCTCCAGGCGCATTATTTCTCTGAAAGCTACAGTTATTTACTGTGCGTTACGATCGAAGTGCATATGACTGGACAAACAGCGCCTCTTCACTCGAAGTCGTTGACGCTTCTAAATTCCGAATGTTAAGAGGCGAGAACAAGCATTTCCCGAGGAGGATGCAGCCCCATCGCTCGATTCATCCGCTGGCAGCGCTGCGAACGCACCCGAAGGCATAGGTGCCGAGGCCGTCGTTGTCCGCGGAGTACTCGTCGATGTAGGCCTCCCCGTCGCGCGTCTGCGGGCGGGCGGCGGCGAGGGCGAGCAGGGCGGCGGCGACCAGCAGCTGCAACAGCGCAGGCGCGCGCCGCGTCAGCGCTCAGCGCACAGCGCACAGCGACGGGCGCGGGACAATGGCGGACGCCGGGACGAATGCCAATTCAAATAATAAGAAATATATTACAAATATTTTCAGCGTTTCCTGTTAAAATAACTTCTGTTTTTGAGCTAAGGCAAGGGAATATATATGGCTTGGGGGTTGCAATAGTGACGCAAAAGTGACGATTAGTATACAGTATTCCATTAACACGTGGCTGAAGTGTGAATGCAAGTGCGATGCATTTGATGCAGTCCCATTTAAAATATTTTTACTGACGAGCCCCTAATCATTCTTTTGACTTTAATTTGTCTGCGAAATTCTTTGTCTAGTCAACTTGTTTAAAATATATCACTAGATTGAGTAGCGTCACTATGACAGCCCACGAACAAATATTTTGAACATTTTCCTTTATCTGCACTTGCGAGTTTTTCCGCTGGGACCCAGATGGCTACTACATTTATTTAAAAAAGCCTTTGATGTAGATCAGAGTGCACAACTGTTCGCTGTTTCGTGATTGCAGGCTACAAGGGAATGCCGGAGTGCAAGAAGCGGTGAAGTATCCGACGGTTCCAGTTGTTTGTAAACATTCAATGAGCTTTGAAGGCAAAACTACCACCCAAGGTGAAAAAAGGCTGCAATAATAAAAGTTTTAAAAGAGGAAATACTTACTCATTACTAGAGGTCGGACGTTTAGAGGCAAACATTTGCTAATTTAGGTGCTAAAATTACATATTTTAAAGCAGGTTAACATCATCAATGATATCACTGTTCTCTGTGCCAGAAAAATACGAAATTATGTGGAATTACATTGTACATCTCAATGGCAAGGAAATTGGAAATTTAAACGCTTATATGTCAGAAAGTTTTTTATATTCAGAATGAAATCTTTCTACGTCCACTGATACCATTGAGGCAAACTTTAAAGCAATCATTTCTTCCAATGGCAAATTATCAGGGCTTGTAACCTTACAAATATCTGGATTTTTCGCCACACAATGTTTTAAATTCTGAGGGCCAAATCCTTATAGACTCTTATTTGCTTCTGTGAAATTTCGCCATTGTTCAGCGGCCGGGAGTTACCCCTCCTCTAGTGGGTTGATAGATGCACAAAGAGATTTGAAGGATTCGAACACGTGACGTAAGATGTTTTCGTCCAGTGCTATTTCACAGCCACAAACACCACACCACAAAGCACAGAGCCATCCGATAGAATCCCATCTTATGCAAACTGCTTAGCTACGACTTTCAGTTTATGGCTTTTTACCTTACTCGCTCTAAAACGTTCAACAAAAGCAGAATATAAAACCTAGAGTGTACATAGACAAATGTTTTTAAAGACACCTTTCCGATTACTTCACAACGGCACTGAACACTGTCAATAGTGCAAATGTCTGTCCGGTTTACAACATCGCATATTTGTCATTTACTTGTTGAAGTATCGAATACAACTTTTTGATGTTCTTGGTATGTAATTAATTGCTGTACTATAAAATTATACGGTACTCAGGTATTGCAGTATTCGTGAAGACTGTGTTTGGGAAAATACTTAATATACTGTAGTCTTTCTCAAGAGTATTTTGTTCTACCTGAGCAGCGCGCATACTACGTTTTTGAAAACCATTTTGTGCGATTTTCGTAATCAGCAGTTTTGCTGTTGTATTAGTAGTTAGCTACTAATTTCGTGTGCGCTCAGAAATTGAGAGATAACTAAGTACTCTATAGCGACTACGCGGCACTCGGCTAAACTTAGCTGGCGTCTCATTAAAATTAAATTGTATACTATTGCATAAATTTTATATATTGTATACATTTTATAATTCTAGTTTTGCATGATCAGAAATTGAGAGAAAATTAAGTAGCTTATGATCATGTGAATGGTGTCAATTCTTTCGTTATATACATAGTTACTAGGAAATACCAAAACCAATTAAACATACTGGATTTCCATTAAAAATGGAAATATTTATTTATATTCTCACCTATTCTAATACTGTGCGTACAAATTGGATTGCCTTACTCAGTGCATCGCTACTTATGACAAAAGTACACCTTGTAATGCTTAATATAACTTATAATATCTGCCTAAAATTCTTCACAGGCTAGTTTAACATCAACTGTAATTGGTTTCACATCCTCTTTCACATTTGAGTTGTTTTTTCCCTCACCCTCTTTCTTCCTCACGCAGCGCGGAGTACTCACCAGCTTCATGGCGGTGAGTGGATGGTGGGTGGGGAGGCGCTGGTGTTCAGGCTTCTGTCTGCGTGTTCTGAGAAGACTCTCAGCGCATTTATTATAGATCCCGCCAACGATCCCCCTCGCCCGCCCCGCCCCCGCCCCCCCCCGCCCCCGCCCGTCAGTCGCCGTCAGAGTCGCGTGGACCTGGTCGCCCGCCACCACCGCACGTGACATTCTCCGCAGTTGACTTCTCTGCATCTCAATCTCTCGAGTCAAATTAATGGCGTCGGTGCCTGATGAGTGGCTAGAAATTGCACGTAACAATATATTTCCGAATATTATTTATTCTGGTATTATTTATTATAAATATTAAACATATGTAGGATTCTAGGGTGTAAATGGTGGATGTAGAAGGAGGCAAAAAAGTTCTCAATTTGATTTCGATTACGGAATTAGTTTCGTTTCAGTTATAGAAAGTTGTATAAATAATGTAAAGAAAATCAGTAAAAGTTGTGTGAGGGATTTGTCCAGAAAAGCGAGCGGTAGAAGGGAAACGGTTCACCTCTTGAAGTTCACCTCTTGTCACGAAGGGGTTTTTGGTGTCTATGGATATTTTCGTGGTTGTGGCAAGAAATTCCCTGAGCGTAATATCCCCTCTGAGTTCAAAATTATTTTCTTCTGTTTGGTATAGAATAGGAGTAAAATGTCGATTCAATGTATAATATTACAAATCAAGAAAATCTAAATGATATTTTTGTATATCACAGACTAATTTTTGTTCACAGACTTGTACTCATTCACGGAAGAGGCGTTGGAAAATTTCATAATTAGATGTAAACATCGTAACGAATATATGAATAGGAAGTAAAAATTCCAGTGACATTTTTGAAAAGAATATTATTTTGGAGCGCAGGAGTCCACGCTTTAAAGACTTTTTTGTATTTTGCATTATCTCTGAAATTTTACGCATTCCCAATCAAAGCAACATATTTCCATGTATCCATATTTTTACTTGCTTGACATTTAAACTGGTTAGAAGCCACAAATCAGAATTAAAATATCCAACGACTTACTTGTTCTTTTTTAACCAAGTATATTTCACTGACCACTTTTATTATCCTTCCTTTACGGAGAGAAAAAATATGGGAATTTCAACTCTACGATAACGAATTTTCAGCTCTAAAATTCGTTTTTAACCTCTTCGGGTACATTAGCTCATTGGCTATTAGAATTACATTAAAATATATCGACCAAAAAAAGATTCCCTAGTGGACAATGGACACGGATGTGATCTTGGCTGCTTTGATACTGACCAGTCCGGAATTTCAACCATCATTTGTTCATGAAAGAGTCAGTGTCTGTGTGTGATTACGCTATTCACGTAAAGGAAAAATTCATCCCTGAAGAGGTTAAGTATATTTGAGATTAAGGTATATTAGCGCTGTTTCAAAGATACTTCAGATTGTGGCAGGTAGAGAGGAATAATGCAAGTTTGTACCCGAAAATAGAGACGTCCGTGTAAATGGATGGAAGCATGTGTACGGTGAAACTTCGGGAGTAGAGTAAATAGTATCTCAGGAGTAATAACTAGTCGTATCGTTTCGGAGGCCATTAAGATATTTAATTTTTGGGGGTAATTTTACGTGAAATTCCTGACATATTTATGAAATTATCAGGATATTGGCAGTAAATATTCTTAATTTTTCTCGAATAGAAGAAACTGCGTTTAAAAAAATGATTTAGTTCAGATTTTCATTAAAATATGAAATTTTGAAATTGCGAAGTAAAAATAACTATTTTAAACCTGGTTGCACCTCCAATGTTAGAGATTTCGTTTTAGATGCAATATTAAAAAATCTGAGTAATAACTTGTGATACTAAGAGGAGGAAAAGTTTTGTTAAGCTGCGAATTCCCACTTATTGTTATCGTTTTGTCAGATTTGTTTGTTGGTCTACAAAAATGATACTGCTGTTTTTTACGGAAGTATGTAATGCAATTATTCCAGGCAAATAAAAAGCAGAAATGTTGCGATGAATAAGAAATAGTGGTGACCAAAATTATTTATTGCCGTCAATGTTTGCATGAGGTTTTTGGGTTGTCATTTACTTTTTCTTTCTGAAGTAATTAGGTTTTAAGGCTGCAATAAGTGATTCTTATATTCTATCTTCATGATCATTCTATTTTGTGATCGTTATAGAAAATAATAACAACTTTGTGCTTTGTTCTAATTATTTACGGTATAACATTTGACGCATACTTTATTATCAAAAAGACTAGTTATAGTTGATAGATCGTTAGTAGTTATTCATAGAAGATCTTCCTATGTTTCAGAGTATCAATAAAAAATGGTCAGTGAAGGATATTTGGTAAAAAAAAGAACAAGTAAGTCGTTGGTGGTGATATTTTAATTCTGATATGTGGCTCCTAACCAGTTTAAATGTCAAGCAACTGAACGCAGCTGTATATCTGTTAACATTGCCATGTAACTTCATTACGGTGTTGCAATTCTCCTTCAACGTGTTTCCTTAGTTC